CCCCCTCCCCCCCCGAGCCCATAGAGGGGCTGTACCCCCCGACGTGCCTTAGACGGAGGAGGCCGGTGGGTCAGCATCTCGACAGCTGTAATTGCACACACAGCAGGCACTTTAACCTGTTCACCTGCCTGCATCTCGCCCTCGGAGCACTGGTTGCATGCGCAGTGAGGTGTGCGCTGAGCAAGATGTAACTCCCATGGGAGGCACCGTGCGTCCAGCAAATCCCCGGGGCTCGATGTCCCCGTCCCCACTGAAGGCACCTGCACAAGAAGAGCAGTGCCGGAGCCAGGAGTGCGGCCGTGCCCCAACCTCCGCTGCTGTTTTCAGGCTCTGCAGCCGTCGGTGCCGCCGAGCCTGGGGTGCTGCTTTACCTGGGGCAGCCGGTGCGGCCACTCCAAGACAGGAACTGCTTCTTAGAAGCTGTCATTATTTTAAGAAGAAGGAAGGGGCTGGAGCTGTTGCGACACGTGGGAGGGGATGTTCGCAGCATTCAACTTCCAGATTTCTCACTGCAGCCCACGTGGCGTTCCCCGGGATTTCGGATGCAAAACTTGCCTTCAAATTGCCTTACAGGGATGCCTGTATTTTATTTTTTTCATCCTTGAGGTGGGAGCCCTCAGGAGCATTAACATTTAGGATTTAATTTGAAAGCAAGCAAACAAAAAGCCTCATGGCGCTGAGTTAGGGAGTTTTCCAAAAATCCAGCCTCTAGGCAGGGCTTTGCTGTTAAGCCAGCGCGTGGTGAGCCCGGTTGGCAGTCAAAGCCTGAGGAGCCAAGCTATGCTCAAGGTCAGGAATTGAAGGGCAAGATCATGGCGCTGCTGTGCTGGGCTGGGCCAGAAAGGGCAGACATAGCGCAGGCAGGGGCCAGGACCAGGCAGGGCCCAAACAGCCGGGGCCAAATGCTGGCCAGGGACTGGCCGTGAGAGCAAATCTGGTTTTCTATGTAGTAGTCAAAAGATGAGGGCTGGGAGAAACTGAGTACCATCGACCTGAGAAAATATTTAGGATTTGCATTTTGTGCCTCCCCATCTCTTGCCCCAGCTCTCTCCTGGGCTGTCTTTGTACATTCAGAGGTCTGAATGTAAGAAAGACCTCTGAATGTAGGAAAGGTCTTTTTTTTTCCCCTTCCTCTGTTTAAAACAACTTGAAAAGGGGTGCACGGGGAGCAATCCTGTATCTCGGCAGGCATCAGCGTTTCCCGGCGCTCGGCACACACTGTCACACGCTCATTCTTGAAACCGGAGCAATTTGCACTGGCCAGTCACACCTCCAGGACTGCCAAACCCGGCGAGGCTGCCAGAGAAACAAAGGCAGCCCTGTCCTTGGCTGGAGCTTCTCGGCCGTATCCGCATCCCGTTTTCCTCCCCGGACCAGCACAAAGGCTGTACCGAATGGCAGGAGCATATAGCCAGGGCTGGTTTGTGCCAGGCAAGTCAGCTCCCTTCATTGCTGATAAATAACTCCCCATGGTCTTGCATTTAGGGGGATGAAGAAGGGAAGGGGAGGAAGCATAGCACAAGTTATTGGCTCCTTTGCCTGCTTGGTGCATGGTTCCCGGAGCATGCACGCCTTGGAAAATACTTGCACGTGCTAAATCTTGCTAAGGTTCACAGAGGTGATTTTAGTCCTGCTGAGCTCCAGGCAGCCACATTCAAAGGGATCTTTCCCCAAAAGCTGAGGTGGTCTCACCCGAATGACCCTACACTCAGAGCATCTGCAACAAAGAATGGGCTGGGAAAAGGGATTGCTGTTCACAGCCGGCGCAGCCCTTGCCAGAAAAATCAGATGCTGATGCTGCTGGGATGGGTTGTTTTGGCGCGCCGGGGCTTATTGTTCGAGCGCCAACAACTGAACATGCACACGCATGTGGTATTTTTAACCTGCAGTTTAATTGCAAGGGGTTTCTCCGTAGTTAAAATGGAAATTGCTGTGCTTGATTAGCAAAATATATGTTGAGTTCATTATCACCCCATCAGCCACTTCCCCTGTGCAGACAAACTCCAGTGGATGTGAACTCCCATTCTCCCCACTAGTGAGCATTGGGAAAGTCGCTCTGATTATTTAGTAGAGCTATTTCCATCTCAAACCTCACCGCCAAGGTAGCCAAGGGCTGTCCAGCCACCCAGCTCCACCATCCCTCCACCTTAGTCCTCTGCTCTGCCGCAGCTCGGACCCGCTGTGGTCCAAACCCCAGCTGCACCGGGTGGGACTCGAGGGGTTTTTTGGGCTATTTCCCCAGCTCCTGGAAGGCTGAGTTCGAAATCCCCTTTCTCCTAGAAAGCATCTGGCTCGCGACACAGGTCAGAGCCTGACACTCAGCCCTACCTCTGCTCCTGCCAGCACACATTAATCCAGCCTGTAAGGTCCTCCCCTATTATAGCAGAGGGCAAAGGGCATTAAGCCATTCCTTTATATGATTATAAGCAACCTGAAGGAATTTTTATACTCTTCTAAACTTGGGAAAAGAGCCTAGGACTTAGCAGGTTTAGTTCCCCAGCCCACGTGGGCTTTTATCAGCCTTTATGAAGTATCAGCATTGAGTTTTGGGAGAAGGGGAGGCTGAGGGAAGAGCCCCTGCAGGGCTGCGTGCTGCAGGTACAGCCACCTCCTGGGCTCCCACGGAGGAGAAAGAGCGTTTCCTAGAGCTGAAATAAAGTTGGATGTGATCGCCAAAGTCTCGGCTTGCGCCTTAGTCCTGGAGGTGGGCACGTGCAACATGAGTTTGGATCCAACGTAACAAAGCCACGACCCAACTGGCAGCGCCTCTCGTGCCTTTGGCTGGAGCCTTTGCCCGATGACCACTCACGCAGCCCCCCAAGGAAAGGGCTGTTAGGGAGGGAAGCCCCGTTTCAGCCAGCTACTCAGGACAGTTGTTTTTGGCAATAAACGCGTAAAACAGGCAGTGCCTTCGCTCTCTATGACAGCAGGGACTTGTCTTAGGGCATAACCTAAGACTTGGGTCCAGCCAGAACTTCCCCTCATCGCCATCTTACGCTTCAGAAACCACTTGCTGTTTGCTGACACAGCCTCCCTATCGGTGGCTTTTGCATGTCCTTATGGTGACAGGTTCTGAAGAAGTTCATGACATGAAGGATGATTTAACCTCTTCATCCATCCCTCCCCTCCTGCATCCTAGCCCTGAGGAACAGCACCAGCAATCCCGAGCAGGTTACCACTGACAGCCCCATTGCCTCACCGATGGTTTTTGCATCAAAACTATTTTGGGGCAAAGCTTCTAGGAAGATGTCCAGGTCCGGGGAGACCAAAGCTTCTCATTTCTTACAGCCTCCGGACCACAGAACACTGCTGTTATCCGACCAATGCAGTTTTACTCTAACAAGCGTATAAAGCCTTGAAATCTTGACTAACAGGTTTGAGTATTCCAAATTTTAATTTAAGCTTGTTCGATGCGAACAGACCCAACCTTCACCAGCAGCTACCAGCGGTGGGGGAGGTGACCGTGCATTCTCTAACTCAGCCTTTAGCAGGATGATTAAGGCCAACAGTTTGTTGGATGAAAAGTGCATTGATCTGAAAATTATACTCTTCACCTGCACATTTCTTCTTGTATAGTAGGTTTTTCTATATGTTGTTTCTGTATGTACTGTACAAGTAACTTATTCTTGAATAATGCAATTTTACCATAATATAAAAAGATCTGCTCTTAATAAACTGTTTATAGAACTTGTTTCTCACTTTTAGTCTTTAGTCTGATTCTCTCTAGGTCCCTGGATACTATTTTAACAGATACTGAATTAACGGCTGCTAAAGACAGAAACCCTCCCTCAGAAATGAAAAGAAAGGCGATAGCCTATGTGACAAGCTCTTCCTTCTCAGAAGACTCATTCAAGGAGTCCTGCCCCAAGTCACCATCACTGTCTGCAATGGTCTCGTGCCCCCTGCTGCCCACCTGAACACGAATTCATTACGTTTTACTGCACTGCTGACCTGGAAGGATTAAGACAGGAGCTGCAGCAGTATTTGTATTCCCCTGTATGTTTTTCACCAAGCCACAATGGGATGTAACTGCTTGTCCACGAAAGGTTGTACATACGACAGCTTACTTGTCCTGCCCCTGAAGTGCAACTACAGTCTTAATCCAGCATCACCTTTTGGTCAGCCATCGCAGGATGCCTGCACCATACAGGGCGGTTAGGAAGACCACAGCACTTTATAAGCAGTGATAACTAGTTGTGCATTCCTGAAGGAGGTGGTACTCAGCTGCTTTCTCCTATCCTTTTCCCCATCTTTTTACCAGTCATTTTGCTAAGGAATGCTTACCCCGATTTCTTCCTTCCTTTCTCCAGCAGCACCATGTCTTGCACAGTCACCATCTTAAGCCTCCAAGCCCAGTTGTGACATCTTCTTGACACCAGCCAGAACAGCGTAAGGCTGAGGCATTAGGGAATAGACCCGAGCGCAAGAAATTCTTTAAAACCGGTACCAGACTTCGGATCTTGAAGCCTTTGATTTATTTTTGCAATGGCCCTGCAAGTCAAATACGACCGATTCGGTTTCATGGCGGGGGCGCGCACACACACGATACGGCAGCAGCACACGGCAAAGCTTACCTGACGCTAAATAAAACATTCACTCCGATTTGGGTCGAAAGCCGGAGAACACATTAAAGTAAGATACTGGTAAAACAAGACACAAACACCAAGTGGGTCAGTTTTTAAAACTTTTTTTATTTTTTATTTTTTTTTTAAGTTTTTATTTTATATTATCTACAAAGTAAAAGTTTTCTTAACTTAAAAGTTACATCACTGTCTCACGATAGTGATTATCTCATCAAACGTGATTTATAAATAATAATTCATCAGTTTGACGATTAGAA